AAATTATTCCTTGAACTAGAAAAGGAGGGAACTATTCCAAAATCATTCTATGAAGCGAGGGTTGTCCTGATACCAAAACCAGACAAAGACACATCAAGGAAAAAAATCTTCAGAAATACCCTTGATGAACATACAGGCAATAATTCTTAATAAAATAACTGGCAAACCACATAAAATAACACATTAAAAAGGTAATGCTTCGTGATCAAAGAGTGTTCATCCCAGGAATGCAAGGTCCATTCAACACATGAAAATCAATAAAGAACATAAAGAGTCTTAAAGACAAGAATCTCATGATTTTTCTCAATAAACGCAGAAAAGGCATTTGAAAAAATACAGCACCAATGCATGTTTAAAAGACGAGAAAAACTAGGGATAGTTGGAACATACCTCAACATTRTAAAGGCCGTGTACAACAAACYCAAGCCCAACATCATTCTGAAAGGAGGAAAAGTAAATCATTTTATCTAAAAACCTGCAGAAACCAGACAGGGATGCCCACTGTCATTACTCCTATTTAACATAGTCCTGAAAATCTAGCCTGAGCAATTAAGCAAGAGAAGGAAATTAAAGGGATATGAATAGAAAGATGAGCTAGAACTATCTCTATTTACTGATAACATGATCCTATCATGTTTAGAAGACCCAAAAACCTCCACCAGAAAACATCTAGAACTCACAAATGAATTCAGCCAAGTAGCAGGATACAAAAATCAATACCCATAAATCAATCACATTCCTCTACTCCAAGAATGAATCTACTGAAAAATCAGGAAAACTATTCCATTCACAATACTCCAATAAAAAATAAAATAAAATAAAATGTTTGAGAATCATTCTAACAAAAGAGGTGAAGGACCACTACAATGAAAACTACAGAACACTGAAGAGGGACAGGGAAGACCTAAGAAGATGCAAAGACCTCCCATGTCCTTGGGTAGGGAGAAYTAATATTGTCAACATGGCCCTACTACCCAAAGTGCCGTGTAGATTCACTGCAATTCTCATCAAAATTCCAATGACATTTCTCATAGAAATAGAAAATAATGTCATGAAATTCATTTGAAAAAAATATGAGGCCCAGGAAGGTCCAAGAATCCTTAGTAAAAAAAAATGTGAAGCAAGAAGCATCACAACACCCGACTTCAAATTAAACTACAAAGCTATGGTAACAAAAGCAGCATGGTACTAACTCCAAAATAAGCGTGAAAATAAATGGAATAAAATACAAGACACAGAGACAATTCCATATAAATACAGTTATCTCATACTAGACGAAGGTGCCAAAACCCTACGTTGGAAAAAAAAAAAAAGTCTCTGTAATAAATAGTGCTGGGAAAACTGAAAATCCATATGGAGTAGAATGAAAGTGAACCCATATCTATCACCCTGCACAAAACTCACCTTAAAGTGGATTCAAGACTTAGGAATTAAAACAGAAACCCCGCACCTGTGAGAAGAAAGAGWAGGATAACACTCCAACATGTTGGCTCAGGAACTGAGAGCAAGAAACAAAATTTAAAAATCCACAATTGGGATGAAAACAAATTAAAAAGCTTCTTCTCAGCAAAGTAAACAACTAACAGCATGAAGAGTAAGCCTACAGAATGGGAGAAAATCTTTGACATCTGTTCCTTGAATACGACATTAATTTCCAGGATATAAAAAGATCTCAAAAAATGTAACACCAAGAAAACCCCCAAATAACTCAATCAATAAATGAGCAAAGGAACAGACAATTCTCAAAAGAAGAAGTATGAATGTCAACAAATATAAGAAAAAATGTTCAACACCTCTAACAATTAGGGAAATGCAAGTTAGAACTACACTGAGATTCCATCTCACTCCAGTCAGAATGGCAATTATCAAGAATAAATGTTGGTTAAGTTGCGGGGAAAAAAGTACATTCACATTGTTGGTAGGACTGCAAACTGGTGCAGCCACTCTGGAAAACAGTATAAAATTGCCTCAAAAAAAATTAGGA